TTTTTTTTTTTACGTGATGTAGTTGTTGCACTCGCCATGGCTGCCAAGAATCACGTAGATTACCACTTTCTATAAAAAAAATAAAAATAAAAATAATAAAAATAAATTAACGCAAAATTTTTCGTCTCTCTTGATATACCGCAATATGTCTATTTTTGTGTGCACAAATTTAATTTAAATTTTATTTTGAGTTATTTTGTAGTTAATTTAGAATTATTTAAAATGTAAGCCACTTCGATTGTTCTCCTTTATTTATTTTTATTTTATAGATGCAACATACAATAAATATACATACACACATACATATGTACACGCATATGTTTGTGTCTGTAAACGGCGACTAAGATTTTGAGCGAAAAGTTATTGTTAAATAATTTCAAAAGTAAAAATATTTATGTACTTATTATTTATGTTTTGTTTTGATCAACATTCAACACATGTGTACATATCTATTTATTTATTTTTTCTCGTAGTTTCTGGCCTACGCTGCTACACCTGCAGTTACTTGGAATCGGATTTGGATAATACTTGCCTTATGGATGCCAATTCTACGCGAGTCACTAATTGTTCGAAGAAGTATTGCACTATTATGCGTCAAGAATCTGTGGTTAGTACCTATAAAGAATATAAAAAATTGTCTTTTTGTGGACCAATCTTAAAAGAAATTACTAGAGTTGAAAAGAGATGTTATATTATTTTCAATATTTTCAAATGAGGCTCGTTGAGAAATTTATTTTGTGGAAAGATTTCGAAAAATAGTACCTTTGGTTACTCTTCGCGCCGGCCTTATCGGCCATTTGTTTTCATGGGGATATATTTGCATTCGATCCTTGGCTACAAATTTCTTTTAAAAAAAACCGTCCTACTTCTTCCCTCTTCTCCTGCTGTTTAAAGTCAAAGTGTGAGATGCTTCAAAAGGGATTTCAAGCTCAAAGGTTTAACATCTGGTTATAAAGACAGTCGATGCTGAAATAATTAAAAATCTGTGGCTCTGACCTTTAATCAGGTAAGCATTACGTAACGATCGAATGCTATTTTTCAAAATTCTGTTGGAAAAAACATCTTTAAGCCACCTCTCAATACTTTTAAACGAAAGAAGAAGAAGAATTTCTGTTATCGGCTAGCTCAAATTAAGAAAATTTCAGCTAAGTTAATAGCCATATCACTGCGTGGTTGATGGTAACAAGGTCGTCAACGAACTGGCTTCAGTAGGCTTATCGTCGGTATTTGTGGGGCCGGAACCGTTCATCCTCCTCGAGGCTAATAATCAAAGCGCGTATGAAGTCGAAGCGTAGAGAAAACTGAGGAGAGGTTGGGGGCTTTAGACAGGCTAAACTTTTGGAATATCCTAGTGATAATGACATGTATTGGATTGGCCTATTCCATAGAGGCGGATTGCCGGCGTTGTCTTGAAGAGTGTGACTTTTCTGCATTGGCCAGACTTAGACTGCAATATTTCAGATGAGGGCCCAGGTTCAGAGAAAACTAGTTTTATCGTAAGCACACTTATATCCATGTTTTTTATTAAATTTGAAAGAACTTTCAAAAGAGCTTTGTAGAAAATTCCAAAACAATAATACAGGCAGATTCTGCAATTCACTTCCGCATGAAATTCAAAAAAACTCACCTTTAATCTGACATTCGGGGTTCCTAGTTTCACTTCACGAGTTTCATCTCGACTTTATTTCGGATTCTAGAACCTGAATATAAAACTCGGAAAGTGAAACACAAACCCCCCAAATTACGGATTCAAACTGAGTTTTGTTGAAATTCACTCGGAAGTGAATTGTAGAATATACCTGATAGTTTTTTTTTTTTGTCAGGTTTGAGTGAAATATCTGAGCGATTTTAAAATTTTAACTCAAACCAGACTCCTATTCGCCGAAGTTTTTTCACTTTGCATAATAATTTCTTTGTGGACGCCCTTGCTTTCGTCGAGGAAGTTATCAGTTCGTCGGAATATTTTTTTTTTTTATGTATGTTACCGCATAACTTTGGACCACGTTGGCGTTTAGTTGGCGCAAACAGCGTAGTCTCTCTTCTTGTGGGTCCCGAGACCAAATTTCCTAATACATCTACTATGTAGTACAATTCGCCTTTGCAGATTGAAGCAACGTGTTTTTTTTGTCCTACATTTAATTATGCCAACAGTTTTACCAATCTGGATATTGCCAATTAGATTGCCATTTTCATCTCCATAGGAAACAATTCTAATCTGCAATCCTTCTAGTAGCTCTATATTTGCATAGTGAAATTTGTCGAAAAAAAAGCAATAAAAATAACGATTTAAGAATAATAAAGAGCAGCGTTACTTAAACATCCGGCCGAACAATAGAATTAGTGAAAACAATGTTAATTCAGTTTGTAAATATACAGATTTTTGAAACATAGAAATACATACTACATACATATTTACACATGCAAATTTGTATGCAACTCCGGCAATTCACTTAAATGTTTGTCTTTGCCAGCAAATTGAGCGGAAGTCGCTACGATGTTACACTAAACTTTTTTCCACGACAAAAGCAGGAAATGAGTGAAAAAGCAAAACGCAACAAAATTTTTATGAAAGCAAAAAAAAAGGGACAAAAATTACGAAAGCCACGCGCGCTGCAATTTAAAAAGCGTACAGGAAATGAGAGTTGCGTGGATGAAAGAAAAACGTTGAAACATCAAAAATCACTCTACAACAACTTTACCACCTGCATGCATAGAGCTGGAGCTGCCGTCGACAGCATAAGCAAAAAAATGTACTTCCAGCTAGCAATTATACTTGCCACTCACACCATGCCGAGGCAAACTGCAGCTACTCAAGCATTTATTAGCAAGAAATACATCAACACACCCTACTCAGCAGATATTGGGGCACTCATAATAGCCCGGTAGTTAGCGAATATTTGCTTAGTAAAAATTTTCCAAATGGGAAAACATCAAAGCAAACTTTTTCAGCATTTGCTTGCGCAGCGGAGTAGATGAAGTGGTAAAAGTTGGTGGCATATGTGGTGGCAGCTTGACATGTGATGCGTGCGTTTTTGCGGCAGCAACGGGCACGATGTTCTGGAAGGAGTGAGTGGACTTTACAAAGCTATGACTGATAAACTTGGAAGCCTATTTAGTTTTTTTTTAGCGAAAACCTTCAAGCAGCCAAGCTTAACTACTCTGGTTGAAACCAAATCCAATTTACCAGCATTTATAAGTTATCCAACCCAGTGGCCTGATTTAAGCAAATAAGCTGGCCAATAAGTTGCACAGATTTGCACAATACTTATTTAATACTTTAATAAATAGCCTTTCTTAGATAAATACTGGTTTTGTATGCACGCACATCAGGGTGGCCCGAAAATACACAGGAAAATCAACGATTTGAATTTTCCTGCATCTGCACCCCAAAATTATAGAAAATTGGGAAAAAAGAAACCAGTACTTTTTTATTTTGAAATCAGCTAATATTTAAAGGAGTTAAAAATTTGACGTTTTCCATGTATTTTTCACGAGGAAAATACATTTCTTTGTTGAATTATAAAATCGTTAAAAATTTATGTTTTTTTTTTTCATTAAAATCAGACAACATTTACCATTTCCGCCCCCTAGTACAGTAGGCGTGGCAGCTTGTCAATCTATGTGATTTTCAACTCTACTTCATTTCGTAGCAAAAATACCACAGATAACAAATTACAGTAAGCTCGGAGCACAATTGGTACTTTTTGCCATATTTTATTAGGAGCGCTTCCAATTCTGAAAAACAACTTTTTTTGCTACCCTAATGCACATACTTATGTACTTATGGACATTAGAAACCTTTCAAATGTCTATATGATTGTGTACGCGTATAAAATATATGCAAAGCTTGTTTGCCTTGATTTGTCGTCAACTTCGGATAATCTTTGCCACACTCCAGCTAGAAAAGCTGATAAAGCTTTATAAGCGCATATTAAAATTGAATTAACTTTTTGTAATGGTGCAACGAAGGATGTGTGGTTGTGCAACTGCATGGGAGAGATAAAGCATGAAATGGTAGGGAAGCGATGGGCAAACTATTGCAGAAGATTAAACCTCATCCGCCCTTTTAGTGAAATTTTATTTTGACTTTCAATATCCTGTCCCTGAAAATGCACTTAAAAAAAAAAAATATTTCTACCGTGATATTGTGAATTGCATATTTGTTTTTTTTAAAGAAAAATTGTAAAATAAACCAAGTCTACTTATAATTTTAGTTATAGCTGCTCTTTCGAAGATCACCACATTTCCTGATCAGACTTCTTCTCTAGACTTCAGTAAAAATCTTACCCGCATCATAGACACGCAAAATCATCATCACTGAGCAAGCGCAAAGTTCCGGTGGTATTGACTTACAAAGATGGCTTTGCTTCAAGATCACAATTTCTCGATAACTATTCAGCGCTGCTGATTCCGGCAAATGACGTTGTGGTGTGAAACCAGTGTAAATCTGATTAGAAAATATTCTGACGAAATTGAGAAAGAGATTAGTACTCCTAGTGAACTATGCGAAAATATTGTCAACTTCTTCTTTAAACAGACACTTCTGCTTAAAAAACACTACTGCAGTCTGGAAGCCTTAACTCTACTTTAATGGCAGAAGACCCATACACCAACCCTTCCACCAAGCTTCCACACATTTGCAGAAGAGTTCATTTCTCCATCGTAGGGTAAATGTCAGTGAATAAGCTTATTGTACTCTTTAGTCCGGGTAATTAGGGTAGTCATAGACCCAAGTAATTAATTTAAGCGTTTTATTCCACATCTTATTAAGGGCTCGCTTATAGAAAATATAAGAAAACTTATAACTTCCTCACCAAATGTTTTTTCCCACGATAGGTTCTTATTCATATAGGATCAGGTCTAAGAAATTGATCTTCTTAGAAAAATTTTGGCGAACACGGACAGGCCCACCCTGATAGCCACCCATTAAGTCCCGAAATTTTAAGTAACTTTGGACCAAAGCATTTGAGGTGGAAAAAACGTTTACGTTTGCTTGGGGAAAATAAAATAATGGCAACCTAATATGCCTTCGAAAATATTGGAAACATGGATTTGAGTTAGCCTAAAGCGAAAATTTAATATTTCAAGCAAAAACCTCACAAATATATTGGAAAGTTATATACTTACGTACATTAGCGCTTATTTTTGAAAATAGGAAATTCGGGGGTTTTACCGCTGAAATGGTTACTTGTATTGGGAAAAATAATTCCTTAAAAATGTTTGATCAAGTCCGACCCGTGTCACAAACATGCCGAAGTTCGTCAATGCTGCCTTTGGCTATACTCCTTATTATGTGCACGTTTGTGGCACGGGTTAATCTGAGTCAATTGAGTCAATATTACATGAGAAATATTTTCTCCTTAAGTATATGCAACCATTTCAGAGGATAGCACCTAAAAAAAATTTGAAAACAAGTACTATAGTATATTCATAGCATTCTATGAAATTCCAAATATCGCGTAGACAAAACGGACATTAAAATTAAAAAAATGCACTCAATCATTAAGAGGAGTAAGAATATTAACATCCACTGATCTAAAAAAAACATAACATAAATTATCTAAGACAATAAGCGATAAGCGCATTACAACTTTATTAAGTACTTTAAAATCAACACACAACACACATTCACACATACGACACACATTTGCACTAGTTTACGCAGATAACAAACTTTTAACTGCAATCAAGACATCTAAGCTGCGGTATTCTCAGTGTAAACGCGGTTGTGGTTCGAAGTTTATTTTAACATAACATATACACACATATCTACACTACACTTGCATGCATACATACATACATATGTACATCCAAAAATAAATATCTATATGTACATATACATCCGTACATACATAGTTACATACACAGGAATAGTGACTATACTGTAAGCATAGTATTATTAGCGGCTTTACATAAATATATTTTGTTATTTTATTTGTTTGCTTTCGTACGGTCACTGCGCTTTCCAGCTTTATTATGCTAATTAATGCATTGGCTTATGCGCTCAGCAAAACCGCAGGTATAACAAAGCGTCAGCATGAAATCCGCATAGGTGGTTGCCAGTTGGTCAACTTTAGTGGACATTCCTAATGAGATTGCAGCAGCAAATAAGCAACAACAAATTAAAAACAAATGAAAACCGCGAAAATTACGTGTGGCTTATATCCGTATAATACGCTGCTAGGAAATTAGTTATTAAATTGAAATTACTGAAGTGCATATAGGGTATTTGTAAGTGATTAAATTATTTGCTCTCAAATAAATTCAGTTATTTATTTCAAATAAATACATTTTCCAAGTTTTTCATGTAATTGTTTTCTCGCTTTTGTTTCTTACCCAGAGTCCCGCTGGAAAAGTGATTTCCTTTATACGCGATTGCTTGGATAAACCTTTGGTGAGTATGTACAAGTTTTAATATGTTGTGGTAATTTATATTTGATTTAGGAATAAATCATAAATTTTTTTCATTTTTTTTTTTAGTACTTGAATGCCATTAAAAGCGATTCGACTTTCAAAAGCTTCTATCGCAGCTGTACTACAGATCTTTGCAATGACTCAGATGGGATAACAACAGCAACAAATGTCGATCCGAATTTCGGTGCTTCGCCGAATATGATTATTAAAGGCAAACGTCATTAGTACTTATCTATAGTTATATACGAGTTTTGAAATATTTAATAAAATAAACAAAATTGCATCAAAGGATAGGCTTTTGGGGTTTTAGGGATACTTATACCAGTATATGCAAAAAAGGAGAATACATCATTCCATAAAGAAACCTAACAGATTTTAACAGACTTTGTCTCAAACTGAGAAAAAGTTATTACTAAAACTGGATATCGTTGATTTCGTTTCAATGGTATATTTGCCTGCCAATAATAATACTTTTTTGTTACTTACATTTTGGCTAAGTTTTTTCCGAACGGAAAATGGATTTTATGAGAAGGTTTTTCATGGCAGAAATATAATCGAAGGTTTGCCATTGCCTGCCGAGGGACGACCGCTGTTAGAAAAAACTTTTTCATATTTAGATATTACCCGCACCAGGGAGCGAACGCAGGTCCCGTCAACAAATATTTAGTACTTTTGACTTGACTAAATACTAAATACTTGCTTTTTTTTCAGTGTAAAACTAGAGAATTTCGGACTTTTCGGGAGTATTTCGAGTCTTTGAGACTTCTTCTGGATATTCGGGATAATTTCAGAATTTTCGCCACTATTCGGGATTTTCGAGATTTTCGGAACTATTTCGGGATTTTCAATATCTTCAGAATTTGCGGAACTATGTCGAAAGTTTCGGGGCTATTATGGAATTTTCGGGACTCCCGGAAATATTTTGGGTTTTTGGGATAACTTTTCGATTTTCGGGAATATTTCAGGACTCTCGGGCATATTTCAGGATTTTCGTGACTATTTAGGGATTCTCGAAACTAAGTCGACATTTTCAAGCATATTTTGAAAATTTCGGAGCTACTTCGGGTTCGAGATTTTCCGCACATCTGGACCCTATCATAATTTTCGGGACTCTTTCGGGATTTTTTGATATAAAATTAATCTCTGATTTGTTTCCTCGAGCTGAGATGAGGTGAGGCAATTTAAGGTGATGTGAAGTGATTTTAGGTGAGGTGAGTTGAGGTAAGTGGAAGGTAAGGTGTTAATAGCTTAACTTAGGGTATACACCGGAAAATACTGTCATGACAATATCAATACATGCACACTTTTTCACTAATATATGCATACTTTTCCATTGCAACAATTTTGACAACTAATACGTATATCTTCATTGTCTTGACAGCATTGTCCAATGTAAACGCGCCGCTAGTTTTTCCTAAGTCGTAAAATATTTAGCCCTCTATACTAATACCTTGGTAATTTGGTGGAAGTGGTCTAAAGTAACTGGGAGGCTTTAGATCAAAGTATTTGGCGTCTGATAAATACATTAATTTTGTTTTAGCTAGCAGCTTTAAAATACCAAATTTTTCTTGGGTATACTCTACTAAGTATTTGGGTATTTAGTGTCCAAACTACTGTTGCTGTAAATACAAAAAGTACTTAAGAATGCCCATCACTGATGTGGGAATAGACTAAATGTAATATTTGAATTCCTGTAATGAGTCGAACATTTGTTTCTCCTGTCTGCCTGTTGCACATTGAATGCTCAGAATTTTATTAGCTCAGGTGCATAAGTATACTCCTTTTTTTATTACCCAACAGTATCGTTTGTTGGTACTTTTATACGTGAGTGTGCTTTTTCTTTTTATGACCATCCTCTCTACAAAATGCAAGAGTCATAGCAAATCAACAAAGTTGCTATTACGTTCATCATAAGATGTGGCGATTTTTACAGTCTGCGGCATAAATATATTTTGCTGCAATGCAACAGCATAAATCTGGTTTAACGATCGCGTCTAGTACAACATTGCGGACGGATACTCATATTTCAAAGCATAACGCGCCCACAGGAAACTCAGAGAGTACATTGACTTTGATGAAACTTTGTACATACATATGTATGTATGTATGTAATGCAGTGCACAAAAATATTCAAATATTCATACTAAATAAATTCACAACCGCCCACTGTTCGCAGCCGCCATTCATGTTTAAATTAAGTTTCTCATTCGCTTAGTTGCGCTTGTCACACTGTCGCATTCACTTTCGCTTTCGCTGTCAGCGTTGCAGTCACAAATGTGCTCATAATTTTCACTTTTAACAGTCGAATAAATATTTGTGTTTTTTTTTTCTTTTTTTCTCTTTGTTGCATCGCATGCAAATAGCACACGGTGCAGCACGCACACTTACAGTGAGAAATTTCGCATTTATTTTTATGTGCCGCCCGGCTATTTTCGGCCACCACACCATCACGGCGACATAACCATTAAGCTGTGCATTTATGCATTTCACTGTGGCGACAAAATCACGAAATTTCTATTAAAAGTAAATTTCGTGCATTCTTTTATTTTTCACTTAATCTTAATGCGTTTTTAGTGGCATGGATGACGCCAATGCGTGCACGCCATCGTCACGTTGCGTATACGCCATGGAGGCTGATAGGCCCAAAAGAGAGAAAGGGCGAGAGTCAGGGAATGCATACGTACATATGTACGTACGGACGTTTTGGCAGGCGTAGAAAAATCAACGTAATTGCATTTGAAAATACCAACGCCCACACTGCATCCAGTGGCTATACAAATTCACGCAAAGCATATAATTTGTGGGTAGAAAAAAAAACGCGAAGGCATCGGGCCAACTATAAATAAAATTTGCAAGTATTTCGGTGAAAGCGAAATGAAATTTCTTTGAAAATATTTTTGTGTTACACTGCAGCAGCGCATGGAGGAGTGTTTGTTGGCCAACAGCGGCAATCTAACAAAGACCGACGGCAGCAAGCACAACAACTAAATATCACTGCTACAATAACAATTGCAACGAAAATAAATGCTGATGGTTGGTCCATCAGCTCTGACCGCAGTCGGCAGAGTTCAGTGATGCATTGTGGCTTTTATTTAAATGCAGCTAATTGCAATCGCATATGTTTATGGTTTGCCGGCGGGGAGTGGAGCATGCAGCTGCAGCCACTCAGCGGTGACCACGGTGACTGCGCTTCACTTGCGCACTTCATCGCAAAATTTATTTCGGCTGGATAGACTACGTTGCTGATTTTGTGTTTTTTTTTTTTGTTTATATTGTGGCTGTAGTTGCTTTTCAGCAGCAGGAAATTTTTTTGGTTTTTTTGTTGGTTATCGACCAACTTTGGTCGGTGGGTTTTATGTGTTTTCACTAAATTTCATTTGGCAATTTTTGGCTTTCACAACTCATGCGAGTGGATGGCTTTTTACTGCTCTTCGTAAAATTCGTTGTTTTTGTTTTTATTTCTCACTCTTCGTTTACGGCAGCATTCCGCTTTATGTTTATTTGAGTTATAATACACTTATGCAAGGATAATGGCAATCGCAATTTAAGGGATTTTTCATGTTTTTAAAATTCCAATACTTTTTTCATGCAACTGTAAATTTAAAATGCTATATGTAGGTATTTGGGCCATTCCAGTGAAGACGTCACCTCAGATAAAAAAAAAATTATTTACATAAATTTTGTTTAAATCTGTAAAAACAGTAAAGCAGGTACAATAATTCTTAAGAAATAGATTTTTATCGCTGTAATTAAAACTTGTTTTAACCTCAAACTTTTATTAGATATAAAAAAGATTTTTTTGTGAAACAAATGAGGCCATGAATATGGAATTTCTTAATATCACGACACCTGTGCCACCTAGAGGACTAATTCTTTCAAAAAGCATTGTCATCAACTTCTAAGTTAAGTTCGAAGTTTCAAGTCTTAAGCTCATCGGGAAGTTGGTTAAAAATTTATTGCTAGATTTATTAAACACAGGTGAAACTTAATAAGAGCTTGTAAAACATTAATTATTAATTGAAAAAGTTAAGTTTTTCACTGCTGGAATTTTCATTTTCACTTCTCTATTTCAGATATTAAAAATTGGTACCCTAGTTTTAAAAATGTGTTTGCTGGGTTAGGCACTTAATTTTTTCAGGTAAATAAATATGACGCCTTACTAGGCTAATATTGAGCATACATTCGATTATTATTAGGACCAATTGTGTCATTACCTGCACAAGGCGGGTCTTCATACAGATCTTCCGCAAAGAACTATAAAGTTATACTGACTTAACCAATTATTATCAGGTTTTGGTCAACATGGTGATTTGGAAACGTTTAAAGGCTGTGTTCGATAACTTTCAACCTGTGGCAAAAAACATTTATATTGATATTGATCTTCATTGCAAAAGCGAGAATTGAAGTAATCCGGATAAAGTCTCAACACTTGTAGCAATTTTCAAGCCTCTGCAAAATCTCACCTAGCCCGATTTGCAACAAAATAATTGGTCTACGCAAAAAAAAATTAAATTTTATTGATGGACAGCTCAAAAAACAGTCTGACACAACTAAAATGTATTCATACGTATGTTTGTAAGCATGCATACAAATTGGTATCGCTGTATTTGACAATTAATAAACCAGTTTAGGTAAAGTTCACAAATGAAAGTTAGCACTTTATATGTAGTTTTTGTAGCCATTTTGCAACACATGTGCAATGCTCACTTGCAATTATAATGTATTGCAACAAGCTTGCAGCTTTAAATTGAACTAAGTTTATTTTATTTTATTTTTCTTTTCTTCTGCTAGTCCAGCTCTATTCTGTCTTTTTGCTATCAGTGGCCAATTTGTTTTGTGTTGTATAGGAATTCGTACAACTAACTCTTTGCAGATATTTTCATTTTAATTACGTAAATTTGTTGGCGCTGCACAGACTAGAAGCCACAGTAGTCTGGTAACCATTAGTGCTACTAATGGTCTCAATTTGTGTTGTTAAGCAGGGATAACACGATTTGTACATTTGTTCAGTGGTGTTGTTCGGAAATTATTTTATTGAGCTGAACTCAAATTTCTAAACAACAGTCAACAGTCAATGAAAACTGGTTTTAAGAAGAAAGCTAAAAACTGTGACTGAATTTTTGGCTTTTTTATAATGAAACGTTTTCTTTTTTTGTTATTGTTTGTCTTTTGACAGCCATCATGGCTGAGTAGTTAGAGATGCGTACTACCACTCCATAGGACATGGGTTCGATCACTGGTCCGAGCAACTTATAATTTATAAGCGGTT